ATTCATCAATACAGTGCTGAATATAGGTCAAAAAGATACTAGTGTACATATAAATGTAATAATAAAAGCAGTATTTTTATTTTGAAAAATCAGATGAATTATTTTTTTCTCATGGGGAGATCCCAATGGAGGGTGTATAAGGTCCTTTCATCTATGCAAATCTAAACCAATAACGGAAATGGGATTAAAAATAGTACACTAAATAAATCTCCTCAGTAGTCCCATTAGTTCTATTTGTCAGGCTTGGCTGTCTCTTAAATATCATTTACTTTTCAATAAAATAGTTTATTAGCAACGATTTTACAAGATCTGAATATATTAATCTTGATTTAGAGAATGAAATGAGAATATTAAGATCTACACCAAATATATGTTTAATAAAGTGTCTATGGTATATGTCTAAGGTACATTTGACAATTTAAGTGTAAAAGTGCATATGTAAGACTTATAATTTTAATCATTACAAATCAAATACCATATATATTCAAGAGGTTTAGCAAATAACACCTTATTGAAAGAAAACCTTGAAATAATCAAGAACAGGGGCAGGTCATATGGGTTTAAAGGTCAAGAGCTTGCTTCATATTTGAGTGTTCTTAGCAATAATGGGTTGTTTTAAGAATACATAAATACCCAACAATACACTAAAAATTGCAGTAAAAGGAATTCTAGGTGACAGAAATGACAAAATATTGCTTCTGGGACAAGATCAAATGACTTTGACACATTCTTTACCCTACCTATTTTGTAATTTAACAATTAAGGTCTCATGGAAGTTAACAGGAAATGACAAAACAAAAAATGACAAAGCCATGCTGGATTTTGAAAATTTTTTGAACCAAGATAACAGAGTTCTGTTTGGACCTCCAGTCAGTTTAACTAGTTCCAAATATCATTTACATGACCAGGAACACAATTGAAATGGTCAGAATGACCATAAACATGATAAAATAACCTTTTTAGCCCTCTGAAAATGTGGCTGAAAAATAGCTAAAAGTAGGTGCTCAGGAAAGGTCAATGAACAGAATCTTTTGATTTTTTCAGAATATGTGTCCAATATATTGCTCTAAATGACACAATCTTTGAAATTTTAAAAAATCGTCTGAAACAATAATGGCTGTAGTAAAAAAGAAAATAGATCGATTTTCAATTCAGTTTTTTTCATTTTTTTCTTTTTCTAAGAATGATATCAAATTTTTTTGAATTGTATCATTTAGAGCAATATATTGGGCACATTTTCTGAAAAAGTCAAAATATTCTGTTCAGTGACCTTTCCTGAGCACCTACTCTTAGCTATTTTTTAGTCACATTTTCAGAGGGCTGAAAAGGTTATTCTATCATGTTTATGGTCATTCTGACCATTTCAACTGTGTTCCTGGTCATGTAAATGATATGTGGAACTAGTTAAACTGACTGGAGGTCCAAACAGAACTCTGTTATCTTGGTTCAAAAAATTTTCAAAATCCAGCATGGCTTTGTCATTTTTTGTTTTGTCACTTCCTGTTAACTTCCATGAGACCTTAACACAAATATACATACCATATTTAAGCAGATATCAGACAAATTCATAAAAAATATTTTTTGATCGATAAAATCATCGATTACTAAATTGGAAGTGTGTTCTGTGACATCCGCTAAGAAGATATATACAGATTTCAGTTATTTCAATTTTGCTACATGGATTTGATTTTAAATGCTCTTTGAGTGCTTACTATGAATTCATTGTACTGTTTTGACTTCCCCACTTCATGAAGAAGGAACAGTAGGAACATATACTGGGTTGTAGTGTATACACTGCCAACAGTAGGAACATATACTGTATTGTAGTATATACACTGCCCACAGTAGGAACATATACTGTATTGTATATACTACCTACAGTAGGAACATATACTGGGTTGTAGTGTATGCTGCCCACAGTAGGAACATATACTGTGTTGTAGTATATACACTGCCCACAGCAGGAACATATACTGTGTTGTAATGTATACACTGCCCACATATACTGTATTGTAGTATATACACTGCCCACAGCAGGAACATATACTGTGTTGTAATGTATACACTGCCCACAGTAGGAACATATACTGTATTGTAGTGTATATACTACCTACAGTAGGAACATATACTGTGTTGTAGTAAATACATTGCCCACAGTAGGAACATATACTGGGTTATAGTGCATACACTGCCTAAAGTAGGAACATATACTGGGTTGTAGTATATACACTGCCCACAGTAGGAACATATACTGTGTTGTAGTGTATGCTGCCACAGTAGGAACATATACTGTGTTGTAGTATATACACTGCCTACAGTAGGAACATATACTGGGTTGTAGTGTATACACTGCCTACAGTAGGAACATATACTGTGTTGTAGTGTATACACTGCCTACAGTAGGAATATATACTGCATTGTAGTGTATACAGTACCTACAGTAGGAACATATACTGTGTTGTAGTGTATGCTGCCCACAGTAGGAACATATACTGTGTTGTAGTATATACACTGCCCACAGTTGGAACATATACTGCATTGTAGTGTATACACTGCCCAAAGTAGGAACATATACTGTATTGTAGTGCATACACTGCCTACAGTAGGAAATATACTGTGTTGTAGTGTATAAACTGCCCACAGTAGGAAATATACTGTATTATAGTGTATACACTGCCTACAGTAGGAACATATACTGTGTTGTAATGTATACACTGCCCACAGTAGGAAAATATACTGTGTTGTAATGTATACACTGCCCACAGTAGGAACATATACTGTGTTGTAATGTATACACTGCCCACAGTAGGAACATATACTGTATTATAGTGTATACACTGCCTACAGTATGAACATATACTGTGTTGTAATGTATACACTGCCCACAGTAGGAACATATACTGTGTTATAATGTATACATTGCCCACAGTAGGAACATATACTGTATTATAGTGTATACATTGCCCACAGTAGGAACATATACTGTATTATAGTGTATACATTGCCAACAGTAGAAACATATACTGTGTTGTAATGTATACACTGCCCACAGTAGGAACATATACTGTGTTATAGTGTATACACTGCCCACAGTAGGAACATATACTGTATTTTAGTGTATACACTGCCTACATTAGGAACATATACTGTGTTGTAGTGTATACACTGCCTACAGTAGGAACATATACTGTGTTGTAGTGTATGCTGCCTACAGTAGGAACATATACTGTGTTGTAGTATATACACTGCGTTGTAGTATATACACTGCCCACAGTAGGAACATGTAGTGTATATACTGCCCACAGTAGGAACATATACTGTATTGTAGTGTATACACTCCCTACAGTAGGAACATATACTGTGTTATAGTGTATGCTGCCCACAGTAGGAACATAACTTGTGTTGTAGTGTCTGCTGCCCATTCTGATACTGATACTGATCATATCTCATCTGTTTTACTAGCAATATGGCTGAAACGAAATGTAATGATATGATTTAGCATGATGTATGCTGTCTATTCTAATTTATCTGAGTCCCTCATTATCTCCATCTTGATTCATATTAGCTGATGCTCGTGAGACTCCCTATTTTTATCATTTTGCCAATTTTTCATTTTTGCTACTTTTAGAAATAAGTGAAAATATTTCGAAAAACCTCTATCAAAAAGTATGCTCTAAGCCAAACAGGACAGAATGGGCTCTTCATTCTATTTTTCAACTTTCAGTGTAACTGTGGAAAACTGCCACAGTGATACATTGTAGTTTCATATCACACAGACCCCTGTTTGGAGTGCAATGAATCTCTGGAACCCACTCTCTATTATTACAGTGCAGGGAGTGGGCCACAAGGACTTGAAGTGTATCAGTAACTATAGATTTGAGAATGCCCTCGAAACATTCAACATTTGAATAACGAACATGAAAACCATAGAATTTCTTTATGTACAAGTACTTTAATTATTGATCATCAGACGTTTTCTTAAAAGCTTCTATTCTAAAATAGCATCTACCTTCTAAATTAATAGAACCTTCTGAAATCATGTTCTCCAGTTGATATATTGAGTTTTCAAATTGGATTTCTTAACCTCCATATATAATTGATCCAATTTGATTCCCTTACATACCGATGACAAGGTCACAAGAAGTTTCATGGGAAGTATTAAGCTTTTAATCCCTTTTCTAGTAGTAGACCATTGAGGCAGTATAATGTATATACAATCTGCTCATATCTTCAGATTACTTGTCCTGAATCAAAACTCTGGAGTCCTCTGCTTGTCTTCTCCTTGTGGAGGTGAGATGTGTAAGAGGGGGGGGGGGGTTTACAAGGGCTTGTTCCAAATCTAACAAGACAAAGTTCAAAATGATCTAACGGGGAATAAAATCTGCGATGCCAAAGTAACAATAACAACAAATACATAAAGCAACATGGTCAAGCCATCTGAATTTCACTTAGACCTTTGAGTACATAGACGAATTTGCAAGATGTATGTTATTTGACAATAACACTAGATTTGGTTCTAATCTGAACAGACATTCAAAAATCTCAAGACATAGTAATTGTGACAAAACATAGAAACGTCCAACCATATTTCATACCAAATATGAGATTTATAACATGACAGGCTCAAATGAAATATCTGTATTTCCATTGAACTAACAATGCCTCCATCATATTTTATTTTATATACTTATACTAAGAAAGAATCATGACAAAACACCTTTGTTGATTCATATCTGATTCACCTGTGATTCTTTTCCACCTAATAGATTATGTGTGTATGTATACACACTCAATCTGTGTTGAATTTACGTCAAAACCATTACCCAATCATTAATTCCACATACACTATGCAATAACATTGAATAAGCTGAAAACACAACCAAGTACAACCCCATGAAGTATTTACCTAATAATATGCAAAAGTCCTCCCTGTAAGTGTTAGAAACAGCCTGTGTTATTTATCAACAATACTAACACTCTAGAATAACAAACAAACATACCTGATGAATTACCACACCTCCGTTTCACTCGTAGTTGAATAGTTCTTGACTTGATGCACTGAAACAGATGAAAATATTTCATTACTTTCTATAATACAAACAAAACTGGGAGTGACACTATATTTGGAAAGTTGAACTTGGAAAAACTTTTACACACTTGAAAAACTCATGGAAAAATGCAATAAAATGTACTTACAAAGTTTTGATTTTGATTTCAATATGTGTTTTAATATCCAATGTATATTAGTGTAGCTTCAGTTTGATTCTAAAGCTCCTATATTTACTAGAAAGTGATTAAACATCCACCAGCTAATCTCAAACCATCACTCAAGTTATTCCAGATATTCAATATGGCTGACTCCTATGTAGGTCATAGGTTAAAAGGCCCCTTAGAATAAACACAAACATAAACAAACCCATGTGGGTGATTATTTGCTTATTTGATAAACTTTCACCTTGCTTCTCTCTAGTATATCTACTGTTAAACAATCAAACTTGATTGCTAATTAACACAGAAACATTTACACTGCAATTAAATCTGTTGAATAATTTCACTTTACCTTTACCTGATTAGTGGCCAAAGGCTAGTATCAAGTAGTAAGGGCATCAGAAAGCACCTTTTTGAGAATTTTTGATTCCACAACAATTTGTGAAAAAATTGCCTTCGAACCAACATCTTTTAAATCTGTATCATTCTAATTGAAAGTCCATGGTGGATGGTAAGGGGAGGGAAATCCCAGAGCTTTAGAGATAACAGACATAATTATGTCTCTTGACATTGATGACTTCATTTGTATATCAATTTTTGCAAATCAGATATATAAGGGTTCTGTACTGGGAGGTTTTGGATACAGGGTTTATCCCAAGGGAAATATGTATATCTCACGAGGGACCGCAGGGACCGAGGGAGATACACATATTTCCCACGGGATAAACACTGTATCCAAAACCGACCGTACATAACTGGTGTATCTCATACTTGAGTGGGTTTGGGGTAGATATAACATGCCCGTAGCTAGCTTTTTTTTCTGGGCCCATCCATCCGCGGAAAAGCTTTTAGGGCCCTAGAACCAAACTTTTAAGAATTTATGGCCCATTTTTTAAAATTTGGTCTAAAATTGAAAAAAATGGCCCAAAAAGGTCAAGTAAAAAGGTCAAGTAAAGGCCAACTAAAGAGGCCCTACAATAAAAAACAGAGGGAAAGGGGCACAAATACATGTATGTCCGCGAAAAAATTGGGCCAAATTTTGAAAAATAATGCTCAAATTCGAAAAACAATGCACTGCAGTAATGCCAGTTTTTTTAATCTTAATTGCCCAGTGAATGTGGGGAAGAGCAAGTTTTTTTTCAAGGAAGCAAAAAGGTAGGTCCACATTTTTTTAGGAGATATCAGGGGGGGGCTCGTCCGAGCCCCCAGAGCCCCCCCTGGCTACGGGCCTGTATAACCTTTACCACCTTTTTCAAATGACAAGATAGGCCTATACTGTAAAAGCACAATTTACATTTAACATTTTCATAATATTCCTACAGCTCAATACAATAGAATTGTAACATTTAAACTTTTTGAAAAATTTTAAACTTCTGAAATTTAATTTTTTTAAATTTCTAAACTTTTTTAAACTTTTGAAAAAATTCCCGGGAGCGGGATAGATATATTATATCTGCCCGCATTTGGCCTAGAGCGGGACATATACAACATGCAGAAAATCACTGCATCCCGTGGAGTGCAAGTCATATGCAGTAAATCAACTGTGGATGAATGATTTGATAAAGATCTTACCTTGAGTCTCTTGATTTGGTCAAAATTCGCTAAATAATCAAAGAAAATTTTTATACTAAAAGAAAGGTTTGTGTAAAAAAAATGGGTGACCGGGTAACCGGGTGGCCGGGTGACCAGGTACCTAATATTCCTAGCAGGGTTACCAACTTTCAAGTTCAAGTTCATATTGGGACATTATTCCCCAATATAGTAGCCAATTGATCTGTCGAGCACCAAACAGACATAGCCTCCCTAATGTAGACTACTATTCGATATTTATACTTTATCATTTTTACCAAGAACTTGTAAGATATAGAGCACTTTTAAAATAATATACTACTTTATCAATATCAGAAAAAAACCAAAGTGATACCTGGTTACTCAAGATATCCACTGAATTAACATGAACACGTAACAAACTGAATTCGCAAGTCCTAAGTAGTTTACATTTTACACAGTTTACGTACATGTACAACGACATAAGTTGCTTGATTAATTGTCTGAGTGATTGACAGGATATAGATGATTGTTTTCTACGATGGCGATTTCTACCAGAAGATTTGTTTAATATATACAGTATTACGGACACGTAAACTAAAACGTTATTTGCCGTTTTAAACTGTCAATTAACATGCGATGTACAATATAAGGTTAGTTGCTTGATTTATCGCCATCAAGTGATTGACAGAATATTGATGTTTGTTTGTTTTGGCGGTTGGTTAATTGGAAGATTAGTTGCTTGTTTGCTTGATTGGTTTTATGACTGGTGGTACATTGAGTTAGAGGTCAGTTGGTCGTTTTGAGGGATAAAAATGATAAAATCAAAAAATCAAATTCATAACCCTGGTAGGAATGTTAGGTACCCGGTCACCTGGCTACCCGGTTTTTTACACAAACCCCTAAAAGAAACAAAATTTTCTTTCCAAGTCTCCTTCCCGGAAATTGATTTCCAATAGACTAGATGCGAATAGAAATAATCTTGATTTACGTCGTTAGATATTCAAAATTCAGTCAAAGTGATGTCACATTTGAAATCTACATGTAAAAGTGCATCGAGAAATATGGTTTCAAAAATTGTTTATCAACTTTGAAAACTTAATTTTTTTTGAAAATGTGAATTCTAGTTCATGTTGATTCCCCATAGACCCCATGTTACAAAACCACAAAAAGTGAAATATCTTTTCTTGTATTGGACAGATAACATTTTCTTTTACTGGACATATTTTAATTTGCATAACTATTAGATACATACGGGTTATATGAAAATTGAACCACTAGAACAGATGTGATTTAAGTTAAAGGGAACTTTCTACTATACCCGCCATGCTATCTGACCCGAACGAGTCACCTGGTGGTGAAACTGGTAACTACTTACTCGCATCTGCATTATTGAAATAGTATGAGGCATTTGATAGGACAATTAGTTGCCACAATACTCAATAACCGACTACCGTGCGGTAAATGGTACAAGTCCTATGATTGGCCTTTAGCTGAAGACCTGATGTACATTAAATCCAGCAATTTGATGAGTTCAAATTATTTAGAAGCATGCGCGATCAATAACTAGATATATTTTTAGATAGATGTCACCTATGTTATTTCACAGTAATCCCAACCCATAATTCCCTTTCTATTGCGGGAATATTTTCGTTGAGTGTTAAAACAAATAACACCCAACTTCAATGTATTTTCTCAATTCCTTGGCAATAATCTTGTTTCCTATCCCAAAAAAGCAATTTGAATCATGGGAATGAAGTACTTTATTTTATTATAGGAATCAAGTAAAAACCAAGCCCAGCGCAGATTGCCTGGACTCCAATTTTTTTTCAGCCATCAAAATCAATAGCAAATTACTTCGAAATACGCAAAGAATATTAGTTACCTCTTCCAAGTGATGGTATCCGTATCATTGTATGACCTACTAGATGTGTGTGGAATGCTGATTTAGGCCGATAAATAAAAAAAAATAAATACATCATCAATTTTATTTCGTCCAGTGTAAAAATGTGACTGAATTCCCGGGAACCTATTTTCAAACCTATTGAAAACACTGTAACGGTCATATTAGTTTTCAATATGCGGTAACTTGACATCTTAGCTCTCCATTATAAACTCTCATAACATTACCAAATCACCGTTTATCAGTTATCATCTGTAAAACTAAAATCCCAGTTAGCTTCCATTAAGCAGTTGAAGATATCGTTTAACTGTTGTGCTTACCAATGGTATATGAACAAATGATCATACTCCAGAGTTCCAATTCTTCAAATTGTGAACACCTTGGTCCAAATCTGAACATCTTGGGAGGGGGGGGTAGGTACGAAATATTTTGAGGATAATGCGTGACATATACAGTTTTCACATAAAAAGTCAGAACGAAATGCGTTTGTTTTTTTCGGCGTTATTTTTTTTGCTGTATCAACGATCGCTTTTTGCTTGACAATAAATAGGTAAAATATGTATTTGCCTGACATATTCTGTGTAACAAAAAAAACTTCCAGCAAATGCGTGACATATACTCAAATTGCAGGACAGTTGGACGGACTGCATTTATGCATACATGATATAGTTCAAATATTAAGACATTACGTCAACTGTAACATAGTTTAATGAATGATGAATATTTAACTGATGAATGAAATTGTTCATAATTTTACATTTTTATGTCAATACTATTATGGCAGAATACATAATAGTTCAAAATCAAAATATTTAGATAAATGACATTTTTCAATTTCTTATTGAACTTTTCTGAGAAAGTAACTACCATAGGCTACTAGGCCAGGCAAAAAGGTGGAAAATGGGTATGTTAAATCAAATCACAAGAAATTTTAAGTGACACTTTTGGGAGTGTTTCAAACTTTTTTAAACTAATTCTACTGAGTAATGACTTAGTCACGACTGTTTCTGCTATTGTAAGTTGATATATTGATCAGAACATCTCTTGAAGCCATTGGTTAAAAGAAAGAACATTAAATCATTCAAAAAGTCACAAATATGATGATTCATTTTTCAACTCTTCCATCTGTCAAATTCATTCATTGAAACACAAAGGCCTATTCTGTATTATTGAGGGCTGTTTGGCAAAGTATGGAAAGGAATATGAGGGGAGAAATGACCACATCTATAAAGGGAAAATATGAATATGAACGAATAGAATAGAATAGAAAGATTAAGAAATATACTGTAGATTGTATATTACCCCCTAGAAAATACTAAATATGAAATAGGTATCTATCAACCATATTAACCCCCTGTTATTATTTATACTCTACAAATTCTTATCACTAATGATATATATTCCTGTTTCCATTACAATTTCATAGATGGTAGTATTGCATGAATAGTACAGAAAGTGAGATGTGAAAGCTGTAGGGGAGAGGTCTATTCAGTGATGTATGAGGATTATGATTTATAGTGTGCGCCAAAACTCCAGAAAATCCCATAAACTGATGTTGAGGTAGGTTACTATCAAGTGACCCATAGTCATTATAGATTGGTTCATTGACTATTCATTTTTACTTGTCTGCAGTAAAAAAGGTGACACGAAAGGGCTAAACGGCTTGCCCCAAGGATCGACCA